ACCTGTAAAATTTGCACAAGTACATAGATGTATTTTCAAAGAGGTTACAAATGAAAAGGGGAAGAACTGTGCATCCTTAGCTTACAAATATATCAGTGTGCATTGATACTATGAGGATCAAAATATTTGTTTTTTGATTTGAATAAAAAAGCACCATAACCAAGTGTCAAAATTTGACCCTAGTTTTGCTGCTTACTTTTAACCCTTCCAGGTTGCTTATGTTCTAAGGATCTAAGCACTAAGAAATTTGTACTAAATTATTACTGATTCTTACTCAGCGTAGATGAGAAATTAGGTACCAGTATGCCTGTCCCCTCTCCACACACAAAGCCTTTGGCTTACATCTGTTGTCAAAAGCTTGAAAAGGGTTATTTTTAAAATGTTTCTAAATGTAACTTGTAGTCAGTTAATATTTAAGTACTGTCTACACTGCACGCAATGAAATGGGAGCATGCTTTGGAAAGATCTGATTGACTGTGACCGTCTGATAGCTTAATGCAGTTTGATTTTGATATCATGTAAGTGGAGCACAGTGATGAAAAAAAATTATACTAATAAAGGCCTCTTTTTCACAGCCTACTTATTCTGGGATGCAGAAGCATGCATCTCTCTATCCTTTTCTCTTTTAGAGCACGACTGCAAAATAAATAGCCAAGAAGGCTTTTCTTCATGCTGTATTTATGAGAAATCTAAGTAACAGACTATTACTTTGATATTGCTAAACCAGAGGGGGCAAATTTTAAGCTTGCATATGCTTCCAGCACAGATGTCAGCGGAGCAATGATGAACACTCTAGGAAGAAAGAACCTCATGAAGCAATAAGTGACACAAGGGAAAGCAGTGGACCAGCTGGAGCCAGCTGCCCCATGGTTGCTGAGGGGGGTGTTCCACTCTGTTTCACTTGCCTGACCCTCTTTAGCATCCAGGCAGATCAAACTGCGCTGTGACGTGTATAAAGTGGATTAATGTTACAAAGAGAGTTGTATGAAGCTACCAAATTCATTTCTGTGTGATTCTAAAGGTTTCTAGGGTGAAAGGCTGATGCATTAACTCGTTGCATCAATCACATCTTATTATGCAGAAGTTAAATGTTAATGCACTCAATTAGCTACATTTTTACAGATCTGATGCTTTCATGGATATTTTTCCTTGTGCTAATTGTGCTATTTACATCTTTTATTTAATTTAACATGCAGTTTGTGTCAAAAATTCCTTGAAGAAACAACAACTAGGTTGTTATTAAAATGTACATCACCAAGAATGCAAGGAATGTAAGCTGTGGCAGATTTGATGAAGATGCTGCTCTTGACCCCACTGGGGCCACAAAGCCAAACAAATGAGTTACCTGCTGCAGTTTTCCTCTTCTCCTCTCAGCACATGCAAGCATATCTGGCACTGATTCTCGCCTATGCACAATATTTTTATATCACTGTGAGGAATTAAAAAAAAAGCTGTAAATATCCTGAGTAAGCACTGCTGGCATAGAGAATAGTTTGCGACACTTCAGCCTCGAAGGTTCAAAGGATGCATCCCAGGCCATGTCTGAAGCATATTGTGCTGAAGCAGTTGAGATGGCTCATGGATATAACTGTTTTTCCTGTCATGAGAGGAATGCAGGATGAAGTGTGGGGAGCCTTGAAGAAGCCTGTTGCTCATATTTACATAAACTAATGATGTACTCTGTATACAAACAAGACAAGCTGATATTTCAGCAACGATGGGCCTGATTAGTTTTTAATGATGATGAAGGCGCCACTTTGTCGGTTTGCACTGAGCTTTATAAACCAAATTTGCAGTGAGCCAGTTGAGGTGAAAATATGTTTTCATTGGTACATTCAGCTATGCAATGGTATGTAGGCAATGTATAAATCTAAATTTTGCATCAAATGTATGCTACTGATTGTCCCCATGCTTCATTCGGGGAGCAAATATGCTTCCTTTCAGGCCTATATGCTTGCTTCCTTTCCAAGAAAATCACAAATCTGAAAGTGGAAGCAGTACCTGGGTCTGTGATTCTCCTGGACACATCATGAAACGTCTAAAAGCTTTATACATAGGAGCTGAGAAATGCTCTGGCTCAGTTAACTTAGACATGGCCGCTGCCGTTATCCTGTCAGCTGTACTCTCAGAGGAGGGGAGCGGAGTGGTAGCTATAAGACAGCTCCTATTTTATGAGAGCAATAGATGCAATGCATTAAGAGAATGATTTTAACATGGATACGATACTGTTATCTTTCCTTGATTTGTTAGCTCTCTATATCTAGATATTGCCAGTCTGAAAAGAAAAAAAAAAAAGCTGTTACTTTTTGTGTATAGAAAAAGCTTTCAGTTTCCAGATAGTGAAAGAAAAATGGGAATGTTCAGCTCTGCCTAGCCTTTTCAGGGCACTAAAACACATATAACTTTTCAGTGCTGTGAAGACATATTATTAGGGAAGGATTGGTTTTGACCATGACTACAAAGAATCAACTCAGATGTGATTCATAAAGTCTAACTACCTATTACCTTCTTGTCTGGAGACAGGTGAGAAATATATTTTTCTCTTACAAGACAAAATCTCCTACAAGAGTACAAAATCTCAAAATTGCTCTAATTCCCCCAAGACATCTATAAAAATCACATCAAGACCTTGTGATAAGGCAGATACATGTTACTAATCCACTGTGATCTACTTTATCTGGCAAGATACCTTATCTGTCATTTCAACATATAGGCTTTCCTAAACATACATGAACTCTTCCTGTTTGGAGTGATCATAAAACCTCTCCCTTATAGCCTGAAAAGGGCAAAGTGCTTGGTGGATACTCCCATAACATGGCTGGTGATGCCATCTCTTTTCTGCCCACAGCAAATTGTGTAAATGTAATATCTTTTAGACAACGAACTTTTCCAAACTCTGAATTATAAGGAGAATTCCTACTTCAGTCTTCAGGCACAGATCAGATGGATACATAGAGGGACACTGTGAGTCTTGTTTCCTTCTGAAACCAGTGAAAAGGAGGAACCGTGCTTCATTAGGATAGTGGCAGGACAGACCAGCCCCCTGTCCCCCAGATCAGCTGAAGCACACCTCTCACTAGGTCCTGACTGACACTAGAGCAGTGGCACAAAATGCTGTGAATAGCAGAGAATGCAAGTCAAAAATGAAAGAAAAGTATTGTTTGGTCTGTTCAGAACCACTACTATTTTCCATCTCTCCTGCATTAGAAGTGAACATTGCTGGCTGATGCTCACCCTGTCCCACTTCCAAAACCCCAGTGTTCTGAACAGCATCAGTTCATCCTGTTCTTTCCCAGTATATCATGTTACCTTTACAGCTGAGAGAAGGATCTGTTTACTTTTCCCACTGAGATACAAGGACATAGCATTTAGAATGTAGCATTAATTTGCATTGGTTGCAGATTACAGTGCAGTTAGTACATGGAGAGAGGAATACTTGTGCAAATAAATCACAAATGATATGACAAATACTTTTAGAGAATATCATGTAACAGTGTGTCAAGGTTTTCTTCTTACACAGTGCATTAAAAGGAATCTTACCTTTAACTACTGAGAAAATAATTTCTCCTGATTTTTTTAAAGCCTTATCCAGTCCTCTTAACATAATTTCCTGAGCTTTGAACTCAACAAGTCTTCTAATAATGTCCTTAAATGAGGGAAGGAGGTAATTTTCTCTCTCGCTGCCTTTAGGGGATCATCAATCATGCATCACTCATAAGTATTAGCATTGCACCATGGCTGCTTTTTTTTTTTTTTTCTTTTTTTTCAAGAAGCCTAATTGTGCGTGGAGGAAGTAGAGTAGGGTAAAAGGTTTCATTTATAAATTGCACATTCTTTGTGTAGAATTGCTGTACCTCCTGTAGGGCAATTTTCATATAAAACCCTACGCTGATTCAGATCCCCAGCCACAATAACTTTTTTTATAACCTTCCCTCCACCCACTGCCACTACATATTTCTAAAACAAGCAAATTCCATGTGTGTTATAAGGACAGATTATAAATGAATTGTACTGTGATAAGGTCGCAGAAGATGCACTTAATAAATCACGTGATGACGCAAGAATTGAGCTAAGCTACATTTATCTAAACCCCAATAAACTGCCATCAAAATATTAAGAACTGGTTTCACTGAGCATTTATTCCCAAACATTCACTAGTTCAGCAGTTTCTGTATTAGAACACTAAACATAGTATGCTAAAAAGTGGATTAGATCACACACCACAATGTGATGGCCTTCATCTGAGCTTCCAACTGATCTTCCCACATTGCAAAATCAATATTTGCATTTATTTGCACATTAGTAACTGCAATTAGTATCAGGAAAAAATTATTAATTGCAGTTAGCAGTAGGTGATTAAGAGAAACCAAAGTCCGAATACTAATAGTACAAAATGGCAGTAAGTGTACCTGAAGAAGTAACACGAAATCATCTCTAAATCTCAGTGTTTCCTGAAAATAAAAAGCTTCTCCACACAGGACAGTATTTTTTTTCAGAAAATAAGTTAGATATGGAGCAAAGTGCTTTCCTGCTTTTTTACAGAGCTCTGTTTCTTGGTTACAACAGTGAGACATCTCCACTCAGCACTCCAAATCCCTGCAGTATAAAGGGCTTCCTCAGATTCAACAGTCCCAAGGAAATTTCCCTGATTCTTTCGTCTGTTTTTCAACTTTCTTCTTTCTCTACTCTCACACACCTTTCCAGCCAAACAACACCCTCTGAGCTTTGTTCACTCCTGGAATAAACATTTCTAAATGGCCTTACATGAACATTTGCTGTGGGCTGCCCCACGCCAATGTTTTGGCACAAGAGACACCGTAGTTTCATAAAGATGCTTATTTGTTTCTAAAAGCCTACGGAAAAGAAACGCATATTTTCTCACTGTGGTTTCACCACACTTTAAACCAGTCATTCATGAAGTATATACAGTAGCAGCAGCAGGGAGCAGTCTGCACTCGAGGCTAGCAGTCTCACAGAAATACTGCACAAATGTGACTTACCGCTTTCTCCTCATCCATGTAAGACTTGAATAACTGGCGCTGCTTCACGTGTGTCAGAAAACTGCTCTGCAAATTCATTCTGAGTGAAAAAGAAAATATAAGTTAAGTGCACACGCTCACCATGACTGTTTTTTCACCTTTTGAACTCTAGATCAGATTTTTAAAGCAATCAGCTCTAAGTGCAAACGGTGCCCTGCTGCCACTTAGTCTCCTTTCCCAGGAAGCACATTTTCCAAGTATTATTTGTTTATTTCTCTCAGGACAGAAATAAGCATTAAGCATATGAAAGTTAATACACTTTATAATGACAAACCAGGGGTTTAAATGAGCATGAAAATTTGCTGAGGCAAAGCCTTTGAAATGATTTTAAAGCTCTAATAGAATCCCTTGCATGCATTTAGAACATGTATGCACACAAAGCACTGACCCAGTACTCTGCCAGTGCTGTTTCTATTATCATTATGACTCTGCAAGAGATGCCTTATTAATGAGAGTTTAGTGGAGTAGTTTTAACTACTGTGGGAACCAAATATATTTTGCACATTCCCACTTCTTTTGAGAACAAGCCTTTAATTATTGCACAGTCTTTGTGGAACAAGACAATACCGCAAGCAACAGAAGAAATGCAGTAGTGTAGGATTTGGGCACGGACCAAACAGACATAATGCAGAGATACCTGTGCTAACTGGCTGAGCAGCAGCAATCCAGACAAGCCTGCATGTGCCAAGCATGGTAATTCACCACGCAGAGATGGGGATCAGTTGAATCACTCCTGCCAGTTCTACCAAGAAGACTCACCTCAGAAAGACAGAAAAGCGAGAAATCACTCCTTTTAAACACTCCAGTATTTTATATCCTTTTCCTGAGAGGTTTCTTAAAAGTCCTAGTGTATCAAGCTCTGCATGCCATGTCCCATGAGGGGAAGTAATCTACTGCAGCCCATAGGTACTATGTACACCTTTTCATATCTGGACATTTTTTTCCACACAACTTTCCCCACTCTTCAAATCAAGATCACTTGTTAATCAACTGTGCTAGCCAGAATTGCAATAGTTTGGATTTATTTCTTGTGCCCCCAGATTTTCTTTGAATCCAAATTCGTCTGTAAATAAAATAGTGTGAACTGCTTAACAAGAAAGCTCAACCATTCAATGGAAGCATTCAAATAGTTGTCAAAATTCAAGCTTAGATTTGCTTTCCTTCTGCTTCACATAAGCAGTTCAGTGAGACTTTACTACTGCTTATTTACAGAAAATATTCGAATTATTTTCTATTTTAATGACTCTTTTCTTTTTTACAGGTTCACTTCAGTTTAGGAAAAATACTCAGATATTCAGTAATAAATATTTTCTGAATTCAAAATTTAAATAATTCATGTTCAAAAATAAAAGCCCCAAACAAGAAATATTTGGGAAAAAGACCAAACTGGGATCAAACTATAAGCTCAGATTGGAATCAGACTGGGAGTTGTGCTCATGTAGATGCTCATTCTCTAATGAATTGAGAGTTTTTGTCTTCCAGAAAGAAGATGACCTCTTGTATGTCTCCTTTTTTTATTGGTAACTGACTGACTGACTGTTTCTGCTTGACCTCCATTATTCCATTAACATTTTAACTACCTATTATTACGGCTCATTTGTTCTTACCAGCTATATCTTTCTGGAAATGTACATAAGTAACATACCCACAGTGTATTTCAACATCCTATTCGGAACACAGTACTGACATCCACAAATAATGCATTCTGACAGAAGTAAATTATCTGTTCCACTCCATGTGGCTACGCTAGCAGGAGTTTTCTGTTTGCATTTTTTCAAACAAAGATCAAGTCAATCTTCTTAAAAGGAATCATAGCCTTCTGTGCTGGCAGTTCATAAATACAAAGCTAGGTACAAACAGAGCGCTTTCAGATAAAGTTAATTCCTCTTCTGCCCTGTAGAAATTGAACTTTGTAAATATATTCCTTATCTAGAAACACAGCGCATCCCTGCCTTGCTGGAAGGCAGTGTATCATGGCATGACGTGGTGTGGTGTGCAAGAGCAGTGGAGAGAGCTAACATTCCTTTGGAGTGAGCAAGCCTGAATCTGCAATCTACTGCCAGCTCTTACCACTTATCCAACCTTGTAACCCGAATCCTTTTCTGGGAGGTATTTTGAGATCTCACCCTTTCAGGTGCTCAGTCAGTAATTGCACCAAATGGGGAGCAGAGCTCCTCTGCACACTCTGGATACAGCCTGAAATGTGAAGAGAGAACAGTACAATGGGAGCTATATGGAGTGCGAATTTTTGTTGTTGATGTGCAGTAGGCCAGCACAAGAGAATTATAAGTGCATAAATTTATGTATTGGCATCCCAAAAAGACACCTTTAAAGACCATCTCTTCTGCAGTCATCCTTTAAAAGTCTTCATACCTCTCTTTTCTTCACAACAATGTTAGTTCCTACCATTCTGTTCCACTCAACTTTCCATCCAGTACATGATCCAGATGGATACCTTCTTTTTTCTTGCCTTCCAAACCCATGGACTATCTCTAGCTCAACACATCTCTTCCCTTTCCTGTTTCTCCTTTTGCAGTCTAGAGCCCAGCTTCTTGCTGTTTATTTACACTCACTACTCTTATTGTAAACATCTTCTCATCTGTAACGCGATGTCTGAAACTGATTACTTCTCTCTGCCTCATCAGTTCATTCCCTCTTTTCAAATCATAATCAAAAGCATAGATTTTTCTTCTTTCTCTGTATCTTTTTTTCTTTAATGGATTTATGGAAGCCTTAATTAACTCACTGTAGAATGAATTCACACAACTACTTTCTGTAATTTACAGTGCTCTGAATCTGTGAGGGTGATTTCTGAGTGTATTATTTATGACATTTTCTGTAAAACAGAGCATAGTTGCATTCCTATGGTCTGACAATAAATCCATCTTCTTCATAACATTGGCTATGTCCTGAAAACAAAGACTCTATTGTGGCCATACAATAGACTTCATGGATCAACTATAATTTAAAACTAGCCTGTATTTTATTTTTTCTGGCTCATTTCTGATAAAGATGACTCCAGACATCAGATGAGTCTGACCTTGTCTCTTAGATCCTTGCTGCACCTTGGCCATTTCATGGTTAATACAGTTGTGTCAGTAAGTTGCACATTTTATATGAGTTATGTGAGTATTGTGCTAGGAAAAGTATCGCCCCTCCATCTTTGCAACACGGATGGGAGACACAGAGATGCTCATGCTGCTCATGTCCACAATCATGCTGCTCATGTCCACACTCAAACTGGCCTGTGGATAGGATCTTACTAGTTTCTGCATTAACTACTCTGGTGATTGGGTCGTTGTTTTTTTTTTTTTTAAGTGGGTTGTTTTTTTTTAGTTTACAAAAATTCTGGATAGCCACTTTTATATTCTACTGGATTGAATTATGTCTGTAGACTAGTAACATGAACTGAGCACTATTCCAGGTCATGCTCCCTGACAGTAATCTTTCAAAATACATTCTCAGGGAGGGAAGCAGGAAACAGAAGATAAGGAAATCAGTTCAAGAAAAAAAGGAACCAGGCCACAGCATGCTTAACGGAGATGACAAGGTCAGATGGCTAAGAAAAAAAACAATATTTGCAAGTAGACATTGATGTGTATGCAGTGTGCAAAAAAAGTAGAGTAGAAGGTTTAATAAAGTCCCTGAAGACTTTGTTACTATATCTCACATGGAAAAAAAATAAATGCATAATCCCTACTCATACTGCTTTTAAAAGAGCTAAGTGTATTTATCTTCTAGTCTTACCATATCATCCATGGCTGACAGATGGGTGGAATGGGTCTGTGATGGGAAATATTCTCTCTATCAGCATGGAGTCGATAACCTGAAAATGTGAGAACAGCTACTTTATGGGGACAATCCTAAGCACCTCTTCTCTGACTTTTGGAAGGCAGATAATCTCTTCCTTGCAATGCAAAGATTTAAAAAGAACTGAAAAAAGGTTCTGGTCTCCACAGTAGTAAACTGCTAAAAGCACTGTAACACCACCATGGATGGTATGCTCTGCCATTCAGAGGAATAGGTGTAACCAGTAAAAAGAGCAAAGCCAGTTTTGCAAAGCTCCGTAAATTAACAAATTAGAACCAAAATAGAGGCAGAGATAGCAAGTTTTCTGGGACAGTCTTTCATAGTCTATTCAACTTAGTGACTTATATGCATGGATTGTGTCACTGCAGTAGGGCCTGATGGTCATGGGCAGAGCTGAAATGGAGCTCATGGACCATGGGAAGGTTTGGAGGAATTCCCAGAGGAGGCTGGGCCTCCCTTAGCATCCTCACAGAAATAACACAGTCAATGAATTGGAGTAACTCTGCATCAAATATCCCATTCAAAATTTTGTTAGATAACAAATACATGTTGTCTGTGTTTGTATCAAATATATAACATGTAGAATCATAGAATCGTAGAATCATAAAACCATTAAGGTTGGAGAAGACATCGAAGATCATCCAGTCTCACCATTCACCTACCATCAATATTTCCCAAAAAATCACATCTCTTTGTACATCTCATTTTCTTAAATACCTCCAGGGACAGTGACTCAACCATCTCCCTGGGCAGCCCATTCCATTGGCTGACCACTTTTTGGAAAAGAAGTTTTTCTTAATATCCAATCTGAATCTGCCCTGGAGCAACCTGAAACCATTCCCTCTTGTTCTACTGGTAACTAGTAGTTACATAGGAGAAGAGGCTGATCCCCCTCATCAACACAACCTCCTTCCAGGTCTGAGATCTCCTCTGAGCATCCTCTTAACCATAGCGAACCATCCCTGTTCATTCAGCTGCTCTCCATAAAACCTGTGTTCCAGACCCTTCACAGCTTTGTTGCTCTTCCCTGGACATACTCCAGGGGCTCGGTATCTTTCTTGTAGTGAGGAGTTCAGAACTGAACACAGTATCAAGGTATGCCTCACCAGACCTGAGTATAGGGGGACAACCACTTCCCTGCTTCTTCTGGCTACACCATTTTTGATAAAAGCCAGGATGCCATTGGCATTCTTGGCCACTTGGGCACACTGCTAGCTTATGTTCAGCCAAGAAACATCACATACTACAAGAAAAAAAATTGCCATACATTGTCTCTAGGGTGGAAAATGGACATGTAGCGGTGTTTTCTACAGGACAAGACAAAGCACACTCAAGAATGCTGACAGCAAAAATACTCATAGTGGCAAACTTACAGAAAGCATGCCTCTGATTACTTGAGAACAGAGAGGACCTTGTCTTAATTTGCTTTGCTCCTTTTGTTTGAAAGACAGTGGTGATTGTCATAGAAATGCAGAAGCGCTGAGTAGTAAAAAAAAAAAAAAAAGAAATATTTTTCTGTAAATTTAAAATTTAAATAAAAATAAATAAATGAAAAATTAAAATGAAAAAGTAAAATGAATCATCAAGGCCTAACAAATTTTCACCAGAGCTTTTCTGCAAGACACTAAAATTCCCCTTGCAAACCCAACCTACTTCAGTAAAGCTGAAGGTGTAACGCATTCACATAATCAAATTAATACTCAGAATATAAAACAAAGTTTGTAATTCATACATAGAATAAAAAGGACCAAAGAGAACTTAATTTGTGGATAGAAGATTCCTGTGCTGCCATAGAAACCCTGAGGCAAAATTATGAAGTTTTGCCACAAAGTCCATATCAGAAACATATCTAGAATCTAAGAGCTCTGATTTCACAAGTGCCTTTAGACTTTTCTTGTCAACCTCTGTAACAGGAATGAACCGTCAGGAGAAACTAAATAAAAACAAACCTATTACGTTAAGTGCCGATTTCCCAGTTATTTTTGGGTTACAGACAGACACAGAAGAAATTCTCTGGTCCCATCCTCTGTAGAAAGCATAAGGCAGGAAAAAAAATTGCCAGCACAACTCTTAAAATTATGGACACACTTAGTGGCTTCTAGATGACCGTTTTCAAGTACTACAACCTGCAAAATGTTCATGTGCCCACGTTTGCTTCTGAATTTAAGGTTGTCAGAATTCAGTGGCATCAGCTGCCATTTCCAGTGGCACAATTTTTCATTCATGATTTCAAAATAATTAAGCTTGCTTGCCATTTCATGATAACCTTCTACTTCATTTTTTTAGGCATTCATACTGGCGTTAAAAGGATAAATGAGTGAAGGCAGGACAAGCAGAGAATATCCCTGCCCTAACAGAGTGGATAGAAAGTGATGAAGCAAGAGTAAGGGGAAATACAAATAACAGCCCAAGTCCTACAGTAATGTATCATGCAATATGCATATATCTACATACGTTATACAGCTACAAGTTCCTAGTCACTGGAAAACATTATGGAATATTCTTGATGGCTGCTGAATACTCTTTCAGAATGCACATGATTTAATCTGAAAGGTAGCTCAGCACCACACAGTTGTTTGTTAACTCTTCCCTTCCCAGTGAGATGGGGAGAGAATCAGGGGGGAAAAAAGAGAACTTGTGGGCTCAGATAAAACTATTTACTAAGCTAGGGAAAAGGAAAGGGTTAACAGTTATGACTATATGTATGTATATGAATGTATGCAACAAAGGATGCGCAAGAAATTTTTCACCACCTTCCAGCCAATGCCCAGCAAGGCCCCCAAGTAGCAACTGAGATAAAGGGACGATAATATAATGTAAACAAACAGTTTAGAAGATTTTGAATGCATGTGCCCATATGTTCCGGATGCACAAACTGTTACGGAAGGGACCATAATTCACAGCATAAATGCTAGTCCTGTTAACCTCAATTTAACGTCAGAAGAAAAACTGCTATATGTGTCACAAGTCATAGTGTTATGTAAATGATCCACAAATAGCAGAAAAACAAGACACAGAAATAAGCCAGGTGATTTATTATACAGGGAATCTGGGGACAGAAGCCCATATATACAAGTACACTTGATACACGTGGTCAAACCAGCACTGAAACATACACTACTGTTAGTAAAACACCATTCTCAAAGTCACTCACATCTTCTAAGCAAAAAGATCTTCAATATATCAAATATAGTAATGTTTCTGTCAATAATCCATTTTCACTGTGCAGCAACTACTGTGAAACATCACACTTCTCACTAATGGACTCAGAACAGCAAACACAGCTGTTCAGGAACACGGGCTCTCTTCTCAGAGCTGTGTGTTCTGCACAGTGTTTGTAGAAGCACTTCAATGATTTGGGAGTGCTAGTCTCCCTCAAAGCCAGCATACAGACAAAAGAATTTAATCCACAATCGCAGATGCAGGATTCCTTTTCTAAATGGATTGGTGATGAGAGCAGCTTGAATTACAGACATCAGAAAGAGTTATTTCGTTCCGCTAGTTGAGAGGAAAGAACATTTTCCAGTTACCCAATAAAAATAGACTTGCTAAAGTCATTAGGATAAAATAGGTCTTGCCTTTAGGAAACTAGACTGACTGCAGGGATGTGCATTTGGCCTGCTTCATAGAGGTAGATATTTTCCTGCAATTACCTAGAAAGGGAAAAGAAATGGAGGCTTTGATGAACTAAATAGAACCACAAATATTGTGCACTGATTAATTGAATGCAGATTTATGTGTGCATAAAAAAATCTTTACTATACAATTGTTTTCCTTTTAGTTTCAATTTTTCTGTTGATTGACGTTACTTACTACAGGGTAACTGGTGTTGAATTTAACAGGTTTGCCAAAAGAATTTTCCTTGAAAAGCTAAACAAAAGCCTTCAACAGGCAGAGAGGAGATTAAACTTGGAAAAAAATAAGAAACACATTGCTGCTATCAATGACAAGCAGAGGTTTTGCAGTGATATGGCTTATCTGATACGATGGAGGTTTAATAGGCTGCCATCTTTATATTGCCTAAAGCTATAAGTCAAAGCAAGAAAAATGATGACTTAAAAAAAGAAAAATGTTCTCTGTTGTCTCAAGAACTTTGAACAGTTTACACAATTTTTTTTTGTGTGCATATTGGTTTTTGTTTCTGTTTTAATCTGTAAGTACAGTAACTTAAGAGAGTTTTTTTCCTAAATACTAACCTGTGTTGTGATAGTCTCCACCATGTGTTAGAAGCTATATAGTAATAGTAGTGACCTGCATCAAGATATGAGGTTCTACAGGCTGTCAGAGGTAACTCTAAATACACTTGAAATGCCGTGAGGAAATCATGTAGAAGGTGGTTGGGTTACTTTCATTCAAAAATGAAAAGAAACTTGTTTAAGGGGAAAAAAAAAATTGGTCTACTGATGAGTTTATTTGTCTTGAAGAGAATATTATGAAACAGTGCAACTGCTTGAGTCTCCCATTTCGTTATATCCCTGAAGTGAGAGATCCTGACTTGATAGGGTGGTTGTCAGTGGAACTAACTCTAGCTGGATGTCAGTAACTAGTGGTCAAGTACAGGGGTCAATACTGCTTTCAATCCTGTTCAGCGTCTTTAATACTGATGAGAATTATGGGGCAGAATATTCTCTTCAGCAACTTGGCTGATGACAGAAGAATTGGGAGGAGTGACAGATAAACCATAAAGATGTTCTCCCATCTCCCAGACATGGGCTGACAGGAAAGGTGAACCTTTCATGAGGAAGGAATGACCCCATGCACAAGTACATACCAGATGTCAAGCAGCTAGAAAGCAGCCTGGAAGGAAAGAACCTGGGGGGTCCTAGTAAACACCATGTTAACTTGAGCCATTCACATATGCTTATGGAAAAATAAGCTAAGGATATCCTGGGATGCATGAGGAGGAATATTGGCAGCAGGTCACAGAAAGTGATCCTTCCCCTCTGTTCAGCACTAGTGAGGCCACATCCAGAGTACTGGGTCTTGTTCTGAGCTCCCCAGTGTAAGAAAGATCAGGGCATAATGGAGTTAATTCAACAAAGGGCCACAAAAATGAGTAAGAGCCTACAATATCTCTCTCATGAAGAAAGGTCGAGAGGGCTGTCACTATTTAGAGCAGAAAAAGAATGCTTTTGGATATCTGATGGGTGACTATGTATGCCTGAACAGAGCGTGCTAAGAAGACAGAACCAAACTCTTTTTAGAGCTGCCCAGTGTCAGTACAAGTGGCAATGTGTGCTAACTGGAACACAGGAGGTTCCCTATGACCATCAGGAAGAAGTTCTGTGCTGTTGTCAGAGCACCACATAAGGTTGCCTGAAAAGGCTGTGGAGTCTCCTCCTTGATGGTATTCAAAAGCCACCTGGACATGGGTCTGGGCATCCTGACACCAGAAAGAGGAGGCATGAGAAGTTACAACTTCTCTTACAACTGACTGAGGCATCAGCAAACTACAAAAAGCATGTGCATCTTGTCATGAGATTTGTAATCACTGGCAACTTTACAAGTGGAAACTGGTGCATTCACATGATTCTTAAAGATCATCCCATATTACTGAGAACTTAATAGGTTTTGAAAGATATATTTCTGTGTTGTAATAGCTATATCAAGTAATTCACACTAGATAGTAGTTTCTATACAAGATGCCATTTCTCCTAGACATTTTGACAGTGAGTCATACACACCTGACTGTGAAATAATCAATACAATCCCAGTGCTTTCTTCTCTCCACTGAGAAGTTCATATCCTAGACAAAGAAGAAAACTGATGCAGAGAAACATTGATACAAAAGAATCAAAGTAGCTGTTAGATAAAAGAGCAATGAAAATCAGGTGCAGATATTTCTCTAATCTTTTCTCATTTCAAGAGAAAATACAAATTCTTTAGCAGAAGACATGTAAGGCTTTATTTTAATAGCCCACAGTGACGAGATCAACAAAGCGTGTCAGTACAGCTAATTGATATGTATTTATATGCATATCTGCATAGACCCGAAATTGCATGATCTGATGCTTGTGTATTTGCTTAAATTAACTAATTTCCTTAATGTTGCCAGAATAGTGTAAGGTGGCAAAAATTAATACTAAATCCTCTCCTACAGATGGAAAATACGTTCAGAGACATCCATACAATTAAAAAGAACGATACACATTCCACGCATTCTGGTAAATAAGTTTCTTAGAACATGTTAACTAGAATTCTGACTATTATCACAGAGAACAAGAAATGAAGAGAAATTAAAAAATCACATATAAAGAATTTACACCGCACTCGCTCTGCCTTGCAGTTCTACACTAAAACTTCAGCACTGTAGTGCAGTTGTTGCCGTATATCTTTTATATCCAATGATACATAAAGCCACCACATTTAGGAGCGATGTGTAGCTTCGGGACTTTATTCTCTGCTCTGTGAAATCAGGAATACCTCAGCTGAGCGAAACATCAATCACATCAAACCTGAATCCAATTTTTTCTTGCAACCTTGGAGTTATGCTCTGGGCTCCCCTAAAGTGAGCATAAAAATGCAAGCTCAGATTTCTGGAAGCACATCGGGAACATTATTTAGGTTACATAGCAAACAAATTACATTGAAGAAAAGACATACAAGATCCTGGAAGTTTAATGGCTGTAGAGTTCAGTCATTGGCAGAATTGATCATACTGGGGAAAAAAAAAAAAAAAAGAGAGAGAAAAAAAAAGAAAGTAAAAAGAACACCACAGTATTTCATGTATTTCATGCAGCATGTATGGAAAAGGAAGGGAGTTAAGCTGAACATAGGAATTTCTGCAGAAATGTGCAAAAGGACTTCTTTACCATGAGAGCATTGGCACAGGTTGCCCAGAGAGGTTATGGAATCTCCTTCTATGGAAATATTCAAGTCCTATTTGGATGCTTACTTGTGCAATTTGTTGGAGGGAACCTGCTTTAGCAGTCGGGTTGGAGTCAGTGGTCTCTGGAGGTTTCTTCAATTTCAACTGCTCCATGATTCTGTGATGGTGGGAACAACCAACTGCAACCTCTCAGAGCAAGAAAGTTTGTTATTATTATAGCCAGTGATAATAGGCTGCTATGGACATCCAGAATAGAAACAATCACAACATTAGAGAGAACTTACATTGCAGCATTATAGTGATATTACCCTAAAATTACTATGTTACAAAATCTGTGACAATAACAAAAGGGTTTGATGAACTGTTTGATCACAGGAAATGCTTTATTTGCATTATGGTGGTCTGGGGGCTTTTCTAAAAAAAAAAAAAAATGTTTATCTTTTAGAAGTGATCTGGGTTCTCTGTTAAAGTACTAGAACTGTCTCAAGAAAAACGCATTCTTTTCAGAGCCAACTAGTTCTTGCAAGCATATGCAAAGCTTTTATGTTCCTAAATGCTTTGTTTAATGTTATCTTACCCTGTTCTGGTGAGAAGATAACATGATAGTGCAAAATAGCCATGAATATCTGCACTCCGAGTTCTAGATGTGCTTGTTTACCAGGTTCATATCTAAGTTCTGTAAGAGGTGGTATCTAGCTCTTCATCATACTTTTCTCCCAACTAGTTATGAACCAGGACACATAGGTTAAAAAGATGAGAATTTGAACTGTTTATTATTTGGGAAAGTATCTACACAAGACGTTCAGTTTGTTTCATGTTTAAAGTACTGAAGGTATTGGGTGAGAATGTTATTCACATCTTCTCTGTGCTAAGAGCACTGTGTGGCTCAGACTACAAACAGCATTCAGAAGGATCCAAAGCCCTCTCTGCTTTCTACAGAGCTTGGCACTCTGAGGAATACACTTTTCAAAATTTCTGTTGTGCAGTTGTTCTAATTTGCCACACCATTTTCCTGCTAGAATCCTATTGTTTTCAACATATTTTAGAGACAAACATTACATAATATGATCACAGTGTAGTCTAATTGCACTAACAAAGCAAGGGGAATATTACAATAATGTAATTCTTCAATCTAGACTGGACGACCACAGCAGATTTTTAGTGAGTTGCCTAGGAAGAAGGGATGCTTCCTTCTTCAATGCTGTACTGATACAAAGCAGTTCCAAAATAGAATAAAGATAAAAAAATAAATAATTTTTAAGATAAAGAATGCCTCGACCACACGATCAATCAGTGAGCAGGTTTGACTGCTCTTCAGCACCTAGCACTGCAAGCACTGTAAGCATTCTGAGAACTTGCAGTGCCAGCACACAATAGTGGGTAATAAAACTGGGAGAGAAATCTGTGCTGCTCTAATTCCACACAACCCACACCTCTGCTGTACAGCTCCCTGCACTGCTACAAACAACTTGCAATCTCTATGTATGATCTCAGATTGGCCCCAGAAAGCAAATACAGAATTTGGGTTTCCTCTCCATTAATCCCAGCCAATGTGGAAATGCTTTGCTCTTCTGTTTCTTTGTCGGAAAGGCCCAAATACAAACAGCCTAAACAAAATGCCAGCTGCACTGAGGAAATAACAAAGCAGTAGTTCTTGCATAAGGTGATATACCTTGTTCCCAGAGTTCTTTATAACTTCAAAATAGCTACTGCTTGATAACACTTCAATCAAAGGAGTCCACTCCAATGCTAACATCTTTCCTGAAGTGAGGAGGGATATCATCTGCGTTACTTAGTGTTCTTTAGGGAGACGTACAACTGTGTGAAACTTTATCATAGTAACATGGTAATGCTTTGTGATACTACAAAGGTTATTAACTAGGAACTCATGAGATATCTCTACTCCTGTCAGCAAGCAGCTACCCGATTTAGAAGTCATTTTCCAGTTGGTGCCATGGTTCCATGCATTTTCACTGTGCTTTTCATTGGCCTAGTTCTTTCGTTCTTGTCTTGATTAAATTGCAGAAGACAGGGGGTACCCGGAGGAACTTTATGCTTGTTTCAAGGAAAGGTTTTCAGCTAAGTTACTTGCTGTTACTCCGGCAGCTCAGCTAACTGTGTTTTAACATCTAATATTTGACTTTTGACTGTTCAACAAAGATTTTCTACAATTTTTAGGTAAATTTCCACTTCAGTCAATGAGACCTAATTTGAACTTCTGAATTGGGTCATTAATACAATTCCACAACTGTGGGGGAAAAAAAAAAAACAACAAAAAAAGGAAAGAAAAAAAAAAAGATGCATTTCTTCCAGCACAAAACCAAACTTTAAAAGTGCTGCTCACACAGGTATTTTGGCAAAGCATGGAACACTTTGCTTTTGTTTTTGTGTATGCTTCATGATGATTATATGCCAGGTGCATATTGTTCTAAATTGTAATTGTTGGATTGTGGAGATTTGTTCATGCTTTCCAATTATGATGAGCAGAAAAGAGAATAATTCTATCTACAAAGCACTCATGGCACTTAAACTCTTCAGGCAAGAACACTGTAATAACTGGCATTTTCTTTTTCTGTAGATTGTTACATTAACAATGCCCTCCAGTTATTTTGTGCTGCATTGAGACCACCCCCCTGTTACTAATTCAGAGCCAGCATATCATTGTCATTTGCATAAAGTTTGCCTGCCTCTGGCAAGAAGACAGGAGAAATGCTTTTTCTGAAATCATCAAACAAGTGCTTTTCCAAAAATAAATTGAGGATCGCAGCCATTTTTTAGCGTCTTAAATAAATGAAGCTTTCAGCCAATGTATCAAATTAGTATACATAGGGAAAACCCTCAAAGACAGCAGACTGTATTATGCATAGAGTACTTGTTAAAGTGTTGTTAAAGGGCATTTGAATTGGCATGTTAAACTAAATTAAAAAGCACCAGCATCCAGACGCAAGTCTAATTCTTGTAGAGATACTTCTAGGGACTGATGTAAGAAGTAAGCCTCTAAAATAAACTTGCTGATCACGATATTCCCTTTTATTCAATCTCCATTTCCTGCTGCATGTTAAATACGCATTCTTGCTATTTCAATCTCTGATTCCAGACCTTCTAGTTTTCAGAGAGAGAGAAAAAAAAAGCTGAAGTTACATAAAAACAGTGCTTCGGTGTACAAATTATAACAGAGCAGTTTTGGAGAAGAAATGTTTAACCGTGCTTTCCCCTTCACCTTCTTTCTTGCACACATTTAAAGCTCTTAAAAAAAGAATTACATTTTTCTCCATTTCTTGCCCTGTTTGCCTTTCACACAGTAATGATCATAATAATAAAAGTAACGTAGTAAAAGCTCTTACATGTTCTGCACTAAAACCAACATTGCAGGGCCTCCGCCTTATGGACCATATTCATAGTCCAGAGCCTAACTGAACAACTCACATATCTCTGGACTTAGACCAAAATAATTGAGATGGGAATCAGACACTGTTGTTTAACTAAAGACCCAATTATGTCAATCAAATATATCTTCAGGAAGTCAGAAAGCTGCATAGAACTTGATCATCCTGCTAATAATAATATACAATTAGTTAATAAGCCCCTACAGAGGGGAAGTCATTTTAAAAAATTGTAATGGTAGATGCATTGCATTTTAAAGACTAATATCATTTACAACAGTGCACCTAACAAAGGTTGTTTGAATTGTCATTGCTCTGCCATTTTACTCTGCAGCAATCTTAGTAACTCATTTAGGAGCTGCAAAGAGACAAGTTCAGAAAACACAAGCCCATTATGGCCACAAAGTCATTTGTTAACATGGATATTTTATGAGAATTTTATGAAGCCATGACAGATGGTGAAAGTTTTACTTGGGCTAGGAAGAATTTATGTTTCAAATAATTACTCGATTTCATCAAATACATTTTCCACGCATGAAGAGATTGCAGACCATCTTAGCCTCCTGCCTTCCAAATGCTCTGTGACATGGAATGTTTTGTCAGAAAGTTTCAAAGCCAGCTGAGTAGAATCAGATTATGCAGAAAATGATGTATGGAATCTTAATCTACAAGAAAATCTGGATGACTTTGCAAAACGTCATAAAATAAAAGACGGAATAAAACCGCGGAAATCAGGATTTGTAATTTATTATGAAGGAAATCTATTTTTCTCTTGTAAAAAGGAGAATAATCCGTTGTCAGAAAACATTTTCAATCTTTGGATGTAGTACTCCATCCCTAATAATAAAGACATTAACAAAACATGATCTAGCTCAATTAATGTAGCAGTTATTCAGCAGCTATGTTGCAAGAATATGGCTGTGTGCATTCATGAGCTTTGTTCAATAGAAATTCTCTTGTCTGATGAATCCTCTTAAAATATTTGAGCTTTTTCTTTCCTATGATGCTGCATTTGTTTCAAAAACTTTTCTCACACTTTCCCAGGCTCTTCTACTTTCTAGGACTGGTGAAACAGAGATTAAAACTGGCAAACTTCTAAGTGCCAAAACAGTCCAGTGTCACTTCCCAAATTGGTATCCTGTGTCTTCCTTTATGTATGTATGTCATACATCTTGCAGCTTCAAAGATACACAAAGAAGCAATCGTACTCTTTTGTGTGCGCGTGGGGGGGCTCCAACATCATATTTTAAAACTACATCTGGTGAGGAACCCTGGGTTCTCTAAACAGAAATGAATTAAAACCAGGTCACAATAACTGAAGAAAAAACATACATTGTAGGGCAGGGAGGAGGAAGTGGTGAAAAGGAAGAGATCTCTAACATGCTGGCAACAGCAAAGCCAACTCCTCTGATGCATCCACTGATAGCTACAGTAGTGTATTTTAGCACATGTTGGCATTAAGCCAGACAAAGGTCACTCCTACAGTGTGCTACCCACAGAAAAGTTTGTAATTGTGCAAAGAGGAGAATAACTTTTTATCCATGAATATCCCTGGAAGAAACTTCAGTGTGCATGTTTGCGCTAAAATGCAAAAGAATCAGTTCTTCCCCAAAACAAGATCTATATTTGCTATTTTGGCTTTCTTAAACTCAACATAGCAGGTCTATTTAAATATATACATTGACTTTGCAAACATTTGAAGTAAAACCAACCTCATTTCACTTGATTTTACTGCTTTTCTCAAGAGAAACTGCCATAGAGAAAAACCACTTTCCTTAAAATTTGTGTGTACGCAATTTAATGTTGTGGAGGAGAGACAGAACCAATTTGGAGCTGAAAGTAGATGCAGTACAGCCATGTAAATATTGGCTCTGCTTGGCTCAGTGCACACCAGGAGCATTCCTGAATTGCTGTATGCAAAGGGAGCACAGTAGCACTTGCTCAGAGCCAGCTCAGGTATCTGCTTTACACTGTATAGTGTAGGCTAGGAGTTCTATGTTATAGCATTTTGTTTAAAGCTCTTCTTCCTGATCGCTACTGTCACAACCTCTTTGTAAGAGAGTTCAGCAGGGTATCTTCTGCCTAATCTCTTTGTAACTGAATTCAGCAGGGCATCATATTTCTAATCCTTCTTCACAGGGTTGAAAAATCCATGGAATTATTTTCAGCTCAGCTTGGCTCAGTTCTGTCATTGCCCTGTGAGCCTATTGGTCCTCTCCAGCTTAAGATTCTGAATTTCAGTTGGCACATCCAGGGAAACACCACAAGCAATAAAATACTGCAGTGAACTTGACTCCTTTGTTTTCACCAAAACAAATCTGTGAGAGATGACAGGGAGAGAAAGAATCCTGAATCTCACTCTGGCAGCTTAAAATACATACACAGCTGTAATTTTCAAATATTTTAAATCACATTTATTTTAGTCCTTTAAATATGTTCTCGCTTTATTTTCTACTGATGTTAGAAATACCATCCAGCTTAAAATATGCCTTTTTTTTTTAAATTAAAAAAGTTGTGTTACAACTGCTCCAGGGTAGAGCAGCACATTTGTAGCCTAGATCAAACAAGCGGATGGTATTTGTGGAGACATGGATACATGTTTAGTACATGTTGGTACTTTAGGTTAATAAGCAGACTGATGTTAAAATTGTGTGAGAATAAAATCTATATTGAAATGTTAGCAAAGGAAGAAAAAAAAAAAAAAAACCAGCACTATTCTCTGGCCTAATCTTGCCAAAACATACCCACTGAACTTTCTAAAATGGAATATTCACATGAGTAAACTACTCACTCCTAAAAGTGAGTCTTCCATTCCATTGCTTGGACATCTCATGAAATTTGGTGTTCTGAGACTATGACTGTGGTTTCTGTTTTCCCTTGGTTGTTACTATCTCTCTGTGGCTCCAGCAAAGCTGGGAGAGAAAAATACACAATACGGAAAATGTGAGTCTAATGGTCACTATACACAGTGAGACTTATGAAAAGCATGGAAGTCAAGCCTGCACATTTTTGCAATGCCTAAGTTTCAAGTTGGCAAACTCCCTGTGAAGATGACTAAATATATGGCCAAGATTTTGAAACACTGCTGGAACTGTATTTAAATCACACATATTCATCAGTTCGGAAAGGACATCTCACACAGAGAACAAGTAGATGCGTATTTAAGATACTCCTCCAGTCTCCACGTGAAGCTCTCTTTCACATCTCTGAGTTTTATAGTGTTTATTTTGTCTATGCCTGCTTTTCTTTCTACCTCTGTGGATTTTCAAGTGTCTAATCAGAGATATAATCACACTGAAGCCTTTGCCTCCACATGGCACTAATAAAAAAAATCACTATTAAAAACTTAACTCCTTAAGATAAGATTAACTCATTGTTAATCTTATCCTAAACAAGATGTCCATTTAAAATTATTTTCCATCTAGTTCTTCTAGTTGCTTATGTGATTGAGCCTTTTACTTTGCATAGTTTTTACCAATGTATGTATTCTTATGCTCTGGATCACAGTTAAGTTCTCTTGCCTGATTCTATCTTCAACCAGACTTAGCCATACAAGCTCCAGTTCAGTTAGCAGATATGAACAAGAAACATCCTCAGGAGATACTGAAGTAGTGAATTGCTGAAGTCATGTTCTTCACTGGAGTTTTTCCTTGAATACTGTTATTTCTGTATGCTGCTCAACTATTTGAACTAAATCCCTTCTTCGTACTATCCTCAGCTCACACAGTTTATTTTTTTTTGCCTGATTTCTAATCCTGTTCTCTCTGTTCACTTTCTCATCTTCCTTCTTAAATTATCCCAGGAAAAATGTAACCTGAAAGGCTAATGGAAAAATCCCCCCTGTACTGCAAGACTGCCATGCCAGCTGCAACCACACCTTGGCCCATAAGCAGTACTACATGCTTCTCACCCTTTTTGTTTCCTGTTTGGAGTGCGAGATAATCACTAACAAGTCTACTGCATTACCTTCATGCAATATCTGGCACAGTGTGGCCCTGCTCTGAACTGTTCTAACAAGTCTTACAATAATTCATCCATTGGTATCTATTTGCAAAGCCCACAAGAACTAATAACCTTATAGATAGAACACTGGTGAGAGAAGAGTGCTTTACTGTGCCCTTAGAACAAAGCAAGATGATGTCCCAGGAGTTCATTCATTTTTACCATTAATTCCAGATTTTGCTCTCCTTGAGGCTCCTTCAGCCTCAGCAGATAGTGACAGATAAAACACAGAAAGCACACTGTAATTCTGTTCTCTTCCATCTGTCAGCCCAAGATGCAACCTTTCCCTCGTGGGGTTTGATGTCACCAACCTTTCCCTGGCCTGGAGTTGACAATCTTTCTAAATTCTGTTGATGCAGAAGACGGCTGATTGCAGAATTTAATGGCATATTCTTCTAAACAAACCATCTGATTTGGTCATCATGGTATCAGTCAGCCCTTCAAAACACCACAGACTACCTTTTTGTACATTTTAGTGCAAAGATCTCCACATAGCAATAAAGAATAGGAGAAAACATGTTAGGAAATGCTTAGAAAAGGAAAGAGAGCAACCCTCAGATAAGCTAAAGATACTCCATTTGAGTCTGAATGTGGCATGTTGCTAAGGAGATGGGCAGGAAGTGAACTTAGAAGGATTATCTACCTTTAGAAGCAGGGTGACAGAAGTGGGTTGGCAGCTTCCCCACAGTTCAGACTGAGGACAACATCCAAAACACAGGATGCTGCTGTTTATCCCAATCCTCAATACAAAGCATCTGTGACACATTCTGAGAATCCTAAGAGAAACTTAAGATTTGTATCATTTTGCACATACAGAAGAAAAGATATAAGTGGAATACTTACACCAATCACATCAAGTGATGTAGCAATACCTTTCTCATACAAGCACATCATCATATTGAAACAAATCTATTGTGGTTGTATCATTGAATATTTGCAGGTTTAGGTGCACAGATTGCACTCACAGAAGCAGAGCTAATTCATGCATATTCCACACAAGATATCTGTTGCTTCTTCTTCAGGGAAGAAATTAATAACTGTATAATCAAAGAATATTAGGATGCTATAATCACAAAATAAACAAGAGAGTTTGGCAAAGCAGACTATGATAATAAAGAGAATAAATAGAAGGCTTACCCCTATCCTGAGCTCACTCACAAAACTCCAGCAGAGCAGATCTCTAGCAGAGATCCTCCCCCACTGGTAGCCAGCTCTTAAATAGGTCTAGGAGAGGTGCAGCTCAATTGCCTTCACCTGTGCTCCTGTGGCTGACTCAGTGCTCACCTCAGGTGGTCAATCAGAGGTTCAGGCTGTGACTCAGCAGTTCCCATACAATAACAAAAAGAAAGCAAACATCAACTATAACAAAAAGATGCTGAGTATTCCAAACTAATGATTTAATCTTCCATAAATACAATTCCTTTAAAATAAGGATGTTTAAAAACAGCAGTCTAGCAGCCCAAAGCATGCTAGCACCATGATTAATCCTTTGGGGAATTAGAAGTACTTGTCTACACTACTTACATTATAATCAGCCAATCTCGTTATGCCTTCCTTCTTAATAATTATAGATCTTATTAACAGAGATGAATTTGATAAAAAAAAAACGGCATTACAAATTGCACAGTGTTCAAAAGAGGGAATCACTTAGCTTCAGATGCCAGAGAGAATATTTCTTCAAACCCAAGAAACAATCACAAACACCTCTGTTATTGCTGATATCATTGAAATAAATGATTTAGTGAGAATGCCACTCATGCAGACCATAATGGAATCATGCATGTAGAGACAAACTAGATGGTTTTAAATCTACCGTGTATCAGAACTGAACTGTTAGCTCTATGAATTGACCACAGCTTGTGGCTGGGTTCCACTTTTGAAAAAGATCGTGCAAAGTCCTCATACACAGTTAAAGGGACAACAGGAACAGAGAAATCTCTTAACTAAGTTCCCAGTGACTACCTCCATGGTTACAGTATTAAAGAGTACTGTCTATGACATACATAGTGCTGATAGATATGATTATAAGCATTGCCACTGAGTATGTTTAGCCCTCAACAATAATTAGTAAGCCACATCTTTATCTCAATACACAACCTTTCTTGTTCATCTTCCTGTTCTTATCTTTGTTCCCTGTCCTGTCAAGGAGTAAGCATATGGCTGGGTAGGAGTTCGGCCCTTAATCATGGTCAACCCATCACAGAAATGAGTACTTAAACTTATTTAATCAAATAAATCACCAGGCATACATTAATTTAGTTCCATTCATTTATGCATGTCACCATATCATAAAATCGTGTTTGCTTTGGTGAAAGAAGTCTCTTTTAGCTACGTGTCTTAGTTTCAGCTGGGGTTGATTTTTCTTAAGTGTCTGATATGATGCTATCTATTTGTTTCTAGGAGAAAAACAGTGTTAATAACACTCCAATGCTTATAGTTCCCTGCTAAGCAGTGTACAGAGCCAAGGCCATTCTCAGCAGAGGGCCCAAGGAGCTGAGAGGGAACATACTAAGAATAGCTGACTTAAACTATCCAAAGGGATATTCCACACCATATGAAATCATAAGGAAGGCATTTTGAAGTGGATTGGGAGTTCATCTCTCTCTCTTCCACTGCTCCAGGTGCTAGCTGGGCATTGGCCAGGGGGTGGTGAGCAATTCCTTGTGTATCACTTAGAATAATAGAATCCTTAGTTGGAAGGGACCTTTAAAGGCCATCTAGTCCAGCTGCCCTACAATGAATAGGGACATGTACAGCTAGATCAGGTTGCCCAGGGCCTGATCCAGCCATGCCTTGAAAGTCTTGTGGGATGGGGCATCCACCATATCTCTGGGCAACCTATACCAGTGCCTCACCACCCTCACTGTTGAAGACTTTTTCCTTATACCTAACCAACATCCACTTACATTAAGATTTGAAGCATTTCCCCTTTTTCTGCAAACTACAGACCCTGCTAAAAGCCTTCTTTCCCTTCTTTCTTGGAGCTCCTCTTTAGATACTGAAAGACCTCTATCAGGTCACCTCACAGCCTTCTCTTCTCCAGGCTGAACAGCCTCAGCTCTTTCAGTCTGTCCTTACTGGAGAGGTTTTTCACCCCTTGGATCACTTTTGTGGCCCTCCTTTGGATGCACTCCAACAGGTCCATGTCTCTGCTGTACTGAGGACTCCACATCTGGATGCAGTACGCCAGGTGAGGTATCACCAGCACAGAGTAGAGAAGCAGGATCTCCTCCCTTAACCTACTGGCCATGCTTTTTTGGATACATCCCAGGGTATGGCTGGCTTTCTGGGCTGCAAGGAACATATCCAGCTTGCCATCCATCAGTACACCCAGGTCTTTTTTGGCAGGGCTGCACTCAATCCTTTCATCCCCCAGCTTGTAGTTGATGTTGCTTCAACCCAGGTACAACACCTTGCATCTTGGATTTGTGAAGCCTCATAAGGTTCACCTGGGCCCACTGCTCAAGCCTGGATGGCAACCCATCCCTATGGTGTGTTGACTACACTTGTTATATACATTAATACATATATATATAATTGTAACTATTATCCTTTTCTTAGTAAACAGTTTTACTTTAACTCACGAGTTCTACTTTTGTGGTTTTTCTTTTTTCTGTTCTCTCTTTCTCACTGGGAAGATGGGGAAAAGTGAGCAAATGACTGTGTCAACAGTAAGGTAAGATAATGTGGAATTCTACCACTACCAACAAGAAGTCCTGTTTCATTATACTAAAGATAACTGCTACAGCATACAGATTTTTTTGAAGTGTTTGTGAATCCTGTTCCTTAAGTGAAGTAACTTGAATAGTTGATAAATGGAAAAAACTCAGCCAAGCCCTACTCTCTTTAAAAAGCAGTAAATGATACATTCATTTCTTCTTTCTTCTTTAGAAGAAGGCAGAGCTAGCAGTAAGCAAATTAAAGGCTATTAATATTAAACTTTTTCTTGTTTACAAGAGCTGTCTAGAAAATCTCTTGAGAAATTGGTTTCAAAAGATAAAGGCCAATTTGATAGAATGTAATTGATGGAAGAATGCATCTATTCACTGAAATTGCTCAGCAGGAACCTTGTTCATCTGTCAGACTCTGCAGGCTGATAAGTTTCTGCTAGATGGTTCCCCTGCCCCAGGGTTGTTAACAGGACTGAAACTGGCAACTTTTAGTCTTCCAGGTCAGTGAGGTGGCAATAATTCTTTCTGTAATGTCTGGAATGGAGTACCGTGGAATCACTTAACATAGATGCTGAACTGAGTAAATAGCAATGCCTTATGTATGCAAAAGCACTTTAGATGCAAGCTGGTCACAAACAAATGAAGTGTACTACTTTGACATTTCAGGCCTAAATATGTTCCTTAATGAGAAGAATTTTGTTAAGATAATGGAAGAACCTGCCTTTGCTTGTACATATGTGGATCTGACCGTACAATACCTGCTTTTAAGCTTGCCTGACTTCAAAACACCTTGGAAAAGTAGATCTTTTATTTTAAAAGTTAAGTATTTTGCTTTGCTGCATCAGAATTCATCATGGAAGAAAATAGTGTAATAAACTTTTAAAAGATATGCTCCATTATGTTACACTTACATAATCACACTAACTTCAATAAGCATCAAAGCTTGGCAAATGGTTCTCCTAATGGCATTAGAAAACAAACGCTTGCTCTGTTCTCTGAATAATTTTAGCCAGAATATCCAATAGTTCTGATCTGTTTATTAGCTGTGATGGACTTTCAAGTTCTTTTTTTTCTGAGATGTGAGTATAGGTTGACATGAATTTCAAACTTGTTTTCTCAAGGAAGTGAGACTTGCACAACTGTACTGCCTGGCCTCCCCCTCCTAACCTGGGAGTCCGTTGAGCAGCTCAAAGATAGTAAAATCCTACACGTTTCGTGAAAATGCTATTGCTAAAATGGACCAAATTTAATGTTATCAATATGGAAAAGCCAGTTGCAGTTCAGCCAGCTGGCCAATGGATGTGGGTATAACTAACAGGCAATCAGCACATACTTATTTCAGCAACAGCATATGTTGCCACTTTCTCAGCCAAACTGGCAAAAGACACAGAAAGGAGTTGGAAGAAGCACTTTTGCACTGAAGATGGGAAGGACTGAGTAATGTGGGAGTAAAATCATTGAAGAACTTAATTACTTCCTCTGTTCATAGACAAACTTACTTCTGTGTCTTAAAACTGCAGATTTTGCCTTGGATAAAGGAATGTGCAAATGTCTGATGCGGAAAATACATTCATACTATAAAACAAGTGATTCCTGCCTTTTAGCCTAAATTTATTGAAGTGATGATTTATTTACAATAAGATGCACTTTACTGGAGAGAGAAGAGCACCTGTGTTTCATTTCTGCACGGAAGGAAAAGCAAGTTTTTCCGCTTTATAGTACCAAAGAAATGTGAAATGAGAGCTGTTAAAAGCATTTTCAAACAATAAACTGAATTGAAGAGGATGATGCATTCTTATACTGGTAATGACAGAATGGACAACACTCATCTTCAATACACGCATGTAAACTCAAATCATATGAACTCAACAGAATTACTAAACTATAGTAAATAAAGCTGGATTGCTTTGTGTTTTTTTTTTTTCCCTCCTGGAGTTTGTTCTTCAGTCTGTCTTAAAATTTGAAGATGCTGAATGGTCTGTTTAAAGCCAAGTAGGTTTAGTGAAAAATAAAATACAAACTCCAGTACAAAGTAGCTAAGATTTTCCCCTGCCACTGCAAAAGTTGGAAAGAGTCATTACAATTATTTATATGCAGTAATGCATGTGTAACATGTATATGTAAAATATGACTTTTATTGTATTATTCTTTTTTTCTTAGAATCTTTATGGGGAAAAAGGCAAGAAATCCCATGCTAAAATAAATCTTTGAACTAACATGAACATTTAGGTCTGAGAACTTTGACAAGACCTGAATTCTAGATATATGACAACAAATTCCCTCAGTGAATATGTAAAACCTTGTATGTTTGTATTTATACAAATAATCGTTTAATGATATTTAGAAAACATTTTCAGAACCCCAGTATCATACGAGCTAATCTGAAATAAATGAATTAGTCCTAGGGACTGAAGAGTTTGCAGAAAATACCACTATGATATTACAGTAAGTATCAGAAAACACAGTTTTAGCTCAGTCTTACACACAAAGTCTGGGGCATTCTCTCCTCTCAAAGATTTGTGCCTTTAGTGTACAGGCTACAGAAGTGAAGTCAACTTATGAAACTTGTACAAATGCATAAAAAGGAAGTACAAATGAGGTCCTAAATGGTCATAAGCTGAAAATACAGTACTATATTCTAAGCAAGTAAGATTACATAGATGATAAGCAGTTACAGAATCACAG